ATACAGGTAATTTTCTTTTGTGAGATTACTCAGTCTTCGAGCAGGGAAAAATGTTTCTACTGGTGCCACATGCATATAGTTTAGGAAAGTCTGGTTTATGTATGATCATAACATTTTACTTGTGTTTGAACTGTATTTTGATTAATGTCATGATAGAATGAGATATAAATCGAGTTGAAATTATTGTATTGATTGATGAGAAGTTTAATTATTGATTTTATATAATGTTTGGATGTAGTTACCCATTCTTATTCTATACCAATAGTCAGAGTGAGATATGTTCTCACTTCTCCATTTTTCTTTGTGCTTGTTTCATATGTGGTTGCAGGAGGCTTTCTTTCTATGGGAGTCTAGTTGATTGAAGGGTCAACTTTGATACATGTGAAATAAGGGATTCTTGATTATGTTTCACGCTTTTATGTTTTAAGAATTATAGTTTACTTCTTGCAAAATATATTTTATTTAAGTTTGTAATAACTAGACATTGGTTTAATCTTATTTGAATTTCAAATATGATACTCTATATCTTTAATGTTTGAAGTTATTCAAGTACTATATTTTCTTTTATAATCATTATATTTATTTAATTATATGGAGTAGAGGATGTCATACCGATTACTATTTTTTCTATATCTCTAAGAAAATAATCATCCACAAAATATGTTATCATATTTTTCAGTAATTATATTAGCAAGATATTTTACTTGTATAGCTAATTTATTTATTTTATATTCTTTATTGATATTTTTTTTGTTATGAAAATTTTGTAATATCAAGTATTTTAGTAGTTTCAGTTATATTAGTATATTTAACTTCTAAAAATTTTGGTTTATTTATTAAAATTCATGATTATTTCATCCTTTGAAGGATAATAAAATTTTCCTACTTCTTCGAATAATTTAGAAACATCTATTTTTCATAGTTTTTAAAACTAATATTGTGATGAGAATTGATTAATGCATGACTAACTAGATAGGTTATTGAAAATATTTTATCTTTGAGTCTCATTAAATTATTTCTAAGAAAAATATGTTCCAAAGTTAGAGATTGATCTAATCTTTAGTACTTAATGGGATTCCAATATTTGTATGTATTTCAAATTTTAGTTTTTTATAAGGTAAATTTCTTTTTATTATTCCTAATATTTTATCTTTAGAATCCATTATCTTATCATCTTTCAGTATAGTAATTCTACAGGAGAATTTATTTTTTCTTGAAAAGTTGATTTTATTATTACTTGAACAACTCCAATATGTATATATCCAATCTTCTTTCTATGACTTTCATTTTTTTATTTCTTGCTTAATTTTTAAAATTCTTTTATTAGATAATAAATGCAAACAAGTATTACCACATGTTTAAAAAATATCTAGGTTGTTCACATATATTTGTTTCATAGTAAATAATATTCTCCCTTTGATGGAATAAGTTCGTAATAGTTTTTAATTTATTCTTTTTTATTTCCTTCAATATTTGCACCTTCTTTCAAACCTAGATCCTCTTTTTGTATTATCTTAAATAAACTAGGATCTATTAAAATATTTTCTTCATAATTTTTATCTTTTTCGTTATTTCTAGGTGTTCTAAATCCATAGAAACTATTTTCTCTTCCATAAGTTATACATTAAGCATGCATATAAACATAGTACACTTTAGGTTAGTAATCATCATACCTAAACTTTGTTTAATAATAAAGTTCATTGTTGCTTCTGCACAATTAGTTGAGTAATTAAAATGAGTTTATTTATAAATAAATATTACAAGTATTTGAACACTCAAGTATTCAAATAGTTTTCTTGAAAAGACTAGCACACTCTCAATTGAGAATTTTTCTCTTAGAAATACTTTGATTTGCTTCAATATAAAAGACCTTATTTATATCCTTAATAAATTGACACCTTACGTAATTGATTAAATTAATAATCAAGTAAATGACATGATAACTTACATCTTAGTTCTCCAACAATTGTTTCTTTAGGTATTTTCTGTCATTTTCCTTCTTTTCTAACATGTCCTTTACTATATATAGTTTTTTCTTCATATTTATCTCATGTGTCGTTGTCATAATAATATTTATCCGATTTTCTTTTATTGAGATCACTAGATTCTTTTGCTTCAAATTTTACTTTCACTTTTTCTTCTTTGTATTTTGATTTAGAAGTAGAATAATTAAAGATTACTTCTTCATTCTCTTTATCTTCTATGTTTTTTTCTTCTTGAACTTGTTTATTCTCTTTATCAATTATTTTCAATTGCATAAGTATTTGATGAATTTCTTCTATATTTATAAAATTTTAATGTCTTCCATAAATTCTTCTTTTAACCTCTACATAATGAGTTAGTTTTTATTAAACTCATTTTTTATTTTATTTTTATAATTTATTTTGATTTAGATATAAATCTTTCTTCTAATTCCTTTATTGTTATACATGGATTATCTTTTTTATTATTTAGGAGATCTTATAATTGCTTTAATACTTCATGTATTTTATTTATTTTATCGTTTTTGTCAATAGCTTTTTTCTTGACTAATATTTTCTAATGTTTGTTTTATATTATTAATTTTTTTAATTCTTTATTAATATTATTACCTGTAAAATCTGCAATTTTATTTACTACTTCTAAAATTAATATTATATTTTTTCAATTTTTTTCATCATTATTTCTATTTTTTACTTTAATTTGTAATTGATATTTATGTAACCTTTTCTTTAGGTTTCCCGTCAATTATTGTTGTATTCGATCCTATTTGTCCTAATATTATTTGATAAAGGTACTGTACCCCTTCAAAGAGAGAGGAGAGGGTACACGAGAACTCGTCCTTTTTGTTTCTTTAAGTGTGTTTTTCGGTGTAACGTTGGTCGACGATCCAAAGCCACTCAACTCATTGTTGTACTTATTATGATACCTTTCTATCTTAAAAAATTTAAATCATAAATAAATGATAAAAATTTTGGAAATTAAAATAAAATTGATAACAAAATTTTTCTCGTCAAACATAATAAAAGAATTCATAAAGCTTTATTCATTACTTTATTAAATGAAGAAACATTAAAAAATATTGTATGAATCAAAATAAAATACAACCTCCTGATTAATAATATGTTCTCACGATAAAACATAATTAAAGAGCAGTTTAACAATCTAACAATTAATAAAATTAAAATTCTATCCTGATATCACACTGTCGTAGCATAAACTTCTCTTTATGTTTCTTCATCATCAAACACATCTTTCTGTACCTACTCTAACCCTGTAAATAGCATTCAACTCAAATATAAACATATAAATACCAGAAGTGAGAATACATCTGATCCATAAACAACATATACAAGACATAAAGATAGACACACATTAAAATATCAATTACATCTCACATTCCCTTGATATATCTCTATTCATCATTCACTATCATGAAATCACAATATATAACATAATCATAATCTAAGATTCATGTATGCATGCTCCTAACTCTATATGCATGTGATACCAATCTTCTCCTCCTCATTGAGAATACAAAATACCTAATCAAATGGAACCACCTCATTATCAACAATGATCTCCTGAGTCACCTCAACTAGGAGATATCTATCAAGATCCTATCGAAGTGTTGTAGCTGGTCATGGTATATAGTCTCTCATTCTTGTTAGAAGTTTTTTCACTATAAAATCACTAGGACCCAAAAATATGACCTATAATATCCCATCTATATTGACACACTATCCTTCGAAATAGAGTATGAAAGCATAAAATCAATACACTCAATACAACACAATATGCATACTTAATTTCTTAAGTACTAGTCTATAGCATTGGACTTATTCATCATGTCTTATCATCAATGTTCTCAACATGTTGGAGAAATATATCAAATTTTTAAATTCAAATATCTAAAATACTGTTTAGATTTTTTTTAAAATATATTGATTCCTTTATGGTATTATTTAGAATTGAAATATTTGTATTTATTTTAAATATTTGTTTCATCTTTTAAGATTAGATTTTAAAGTCAATAAATAAACACTCTTGAAATGAGAAGAACCACCTAAGCAATAAAGGGAGTTACCACCTTAAATGAGATAGGAGGTCGTAAGAAAAAGAGGGTTTCCAAATTTTGCCAAAAAACTTATGAGAGAGGGATTTTCAAGTTTTACTCATAAAATTTGTGAGAAAGAGATTTTTAAGTTTTACCCATAAAATTTATAAGGAAGAGATTTTCAAGTTTTACCCATAAAACTTACGAGGAGGGCTGAAATTTTCAAGTTTAACGGACAAAACTTTAAAGGATGATTTTCAAGATATGAAGGGTCAAATTATATTAAATGAATTTTATGTGATATTTTTCTATTTTTTTATGGTTTTATTTTAATATATTTTCTCATTATTATTGTGCACAAAAGAGAGAGATTTTTGTTCCCAACACAACATAGTTCTTCATACTTCATTAAGATTTATGGGAACAATGTTCCAATGGTACCTCTTGTCGCTAATTTAAACATCCCTTCACCGTCTCCTCTAAGTCTCCTCATATGCATACTTTAAGTTTTTTAGAATGATCAGAATGATCAAACTCCCTCTTTATTTTTCTCATTTAAATTAGTCTCCGAATCGAATTTAAAATATTTTAATTAGCTCTCTCCATTACTTTATTTTTAATAATAAAATATTTCTCTGACATTTTTTAATTATTTCAATTTAATTATTATTTATTTTTATTAAAAAATAGGATGTTAAGTTATTGTCGTAATTTGAATGTGGATGAGGTAGAAACCCACATGTGGCTGTTATTTGAACCCCAGTTTTTCGAATCTCCTCCTTGCAGTGAGAGTTTGAAAAGTTTAATCCTCCTTCACCACAATTTCAAAGTCACCTTCGCGCACTGTCACTATCGAATAGGTAATGAAAACAAAAGCCAGTAGAAGTATAGTAATTAATTTACTCATCTACAGAGAAAATATTTCCCTTTTATGACAAACATTTATCCTTTATAAAAACAACAATTATACCACAGAACCCACGTACGTAACATAGCTTAAACTAGTAGTTCTGAAATTTTGCATGATGGAGCAACACAATCCAACACATGTGGTTCTTGTTTCAAGCCCAGGTTTGGGGCATATCATTCCAATGATTGAGCTGGCGAAGCGCTTCGTCCTTCAACACAACTTCAAAGCCACCGTCCTCGCCGTCACTTCCCAAACCTCAACCGCCGAAAAGCAGATTCTGAACTCAGCCCTCACACCCTCCCTCTGCCACGTCATCGAAATCCCTTCCCCTGACATCACCGACCTAGTCCAACCAAACGACGCCGTTCTCACTCACCTCTCCGTCATAATGCGCCAAGCCAAACCCGCCGTCAAATCCATCCTTTCCAAAGCTACCCCTCGCCCTTCGGCACTCATCGTCGACCCCTTCTGCCACGAGTCCATACCCCTAGCTAGAGAACTCAACATTCTCAGCCACGTCTACTTGGCGTCACACGCTTGGGCGCTAGCGTTGATCGTGTATTCCCCGGTGTTGGATCAGCAAATAGAAGGACAATACGTTGACCAAAAAGAACCGCTGAAAATCCCGGGTTGCAACCCGGTCCGACCGGAGGACGTGTTCGACCCCATGCTGGACCGGAATGATAGCCAATACCAAGAGTATCTCAAACTAGCGAAGGGAATCCTCCAAAGCGACGGCGTTTTGGTTAACACGTGGGAGGAGCTTCAACATGAAACGCTGGAAGCGTTCAGGGAGGGGGGTTTGTTGAGCGAAGCGCTCAGCATGAAGATTCCGGTCTACGCCGTTGGACCTCTCGTGAGAGAACCCGAGTCGGACACGAGTTCCGTGACTCAGTCGCTGCTGACGTGGCTCGATGAACAACCCAGCGAGTCCGTGGTTTACGTCTCGTTTGGCAGCGGGGGAATGCTGTCGTGTGAGCAGATGAGGGAGCTGGCGTGGGGGTTGGAGTTGAGTGAGAGGAGATTTGTTTGGGTGGTGCGCGCGCCCACGGAAAACGCTGCGGACGCGGCGTTTTTCACCACCGGGAGCGACGCGGGCGATGAGGTGGCCAAGTACTTGCCGGAAGGGTTTCTATCCCGGACACGCGGGTTGGGCCTGTTGGTGCCGGGCTGGGCCCAGCAGATGAGTATACTGAGGCATGGTTCGGTTGGGGGGTTTGTGTCGCACTGTGGCTGGGGTTCGACGCTCGAGAGCTTGACGAACGGTGTTCCGTTGGTGGCGTGGCCGCTGTACGCGGAGCAGAGGATGAACGCCACGCTGCTGGCGGAGGAGTTGGGCCTGGCGGTGCGGCCCAAGGTGTTGCCCACTAAGAAGGTGGTGGGGAGGGAGGAGATAGCGCGTATGGTGAGAGAGGTTATTCCCGATGACCAAAGTTTGACGAGCAATAGTGTGAGAGAGAGAGTGAAGGAGATGCAACAGAGCGCACTGAATGCTTTGTCTGAGGGTGGTTCGTCCTATGTTGAACTATCTGCAGTGGCCAAATCAATTGAAGGGTAAAAGATGTTGTCGGTTTTAGCCTTTTAGGGTTCCATACAATTTCAATTGTCTGATGGTATCTAGTAGATCATCACCCTCATTTCTGTATCTTTCTTTTTATCAGTTCGGAAAAAGAAAAGGAAAAAGAAATCTTTCTTTCTATCCCATCTTACTCTATTGTTCCGTTAAATTCGAAAAAAATATATTATGGTATTGAATAAAAAAAAACAGGTTATGAAACATTAAAAAATAAAATAAAATTGAATGTCAACACAAAAATTTTATGTGAAATTCTTATTATTAACAGTAGACAACCACCGACACCATAATCAACCATCATCACTATCATCATTTACTTCTATCTTGTTTTTATTGTTCCATAAGTAATAATTGTATTATTGTGATCACAATTTTTTCCATCATCATCTCCATTAACATAATAATAATTTAGTATGATAGTTACACTAGTGTAAAAATTGGATTTAAAATCGGAGTTTTAAGATCGGTTACAAGGTAACCGATCTTAAAAGTGACGCGGTGGCAATTTTGTAATTTTCGCTGATTTTGTTAAGTTATGGATGTGGTACTCTCTATCTGAACACGTTTGATATTTTAATTATGAAATATTATGTTATTCAAATTTTATTATTATGTGTTATGGTATGCGGGGTAGAGGGTGTCACAAATCCTTGTTTGAGAGTGATCCAGCACTAGTCTTAATGTGGGAGGCTTCGATCCTTCCTTTCCTGCACCATTATACTCGTTTAGCCACAACAAAATTTGAATGTAGCTTTCCTCCGAAACGTATGCTCCAAACTTATATTGTCCTTTCCTCGTGCTAGCTATTCTCTTGAACATCTTTTTTGTTGTTGTTGAAAGTGTAAAATTCTCATGATATTTGAGTGATTAAATAGGATCTTAGAATTCATAGTTTTCACATATAAGATTAGATAGAAACACTAATCTTGATTCATGATGAGATTGATGACTTTGAATCTTATAGAATTTGTAAGAAGAATTTTTTCTCTCTTTCTCTTTTTCTTTTCTTTGTACTCTTAGATTCTTGATGATAATTTTAAGAGGCAAACTTTCATAGGCAGAGATAGAGATTATTTATGTCCTTCCATTATATACAACAATATATCCCTTCATTAAAACATAATAACTCCTTCCCAAAAGTCATATCCTTTCATTCAAAATAATTGAATAATATATTCCTAAAAGTCATATTCTTTCATTCAAAATAATTGAATAATATATATTTCCAAAAGTCATATCATTTCATTTGCCACACACATGAGACATTTATTTCTTAAAGAAAGCCATTACGTACACTTTTTCCTGTCACTACTACAAAAGTCTCATTTTCCTACGAATTTTCCTACAAAAAAATATTCACATATTTTATTAGTGAATTTTCTTGTAATAATAATTTCATAATTTTTTTTGCAAATTTATTTGAAAAAAATAATTTACAGAATTTTTTTTACAAATCTTTTATAAAAAATAATTTACAATAAATTTTTGAAAATTTTACAGCAATTTTTATGACCATAAAAAAATTTCATAGTAAAAATTAGTAGAAAATGTCGTAAAAATTTTATTTTATTTCTTGCAAATTTTTTTATAAAAATAAATTTGCAAGTAATGTTTACTAAATGATAGACAAATTTCCCAGGTAACTTTTCCTACCAATTTTAATCTGCAGGAAAAATTAAAAATAATGTTTAAATTTATAATTTTAATAATTAAAAGATTTTTAATTAATTTTTTTTTATTTTACTAAATTATTTATAAATATATCATTATAATTATTTTTTATTTTTTATTTTAATTAAATTAAATATAATTTTTTTATAAATATGATAAAATTAATGATAATGAGTTTTAATTTAATTATAATTTATAAAGGGTTAAT